GGGACCATGGTTTCGGGGGACATCTAACTGGCATAACAAAGTTTATTAAGAAAATGTTCTGCATCCCACTTTAGTGGATGGTGTGTGGAGTATTAAAAACTTGCAAGTGGCCATCTAAGATACATCAATTGGTCCCAACCCACTTGGAGCAAAGGAGTATGAAGAACACCAAAGACACAAGGAAAATACTAAATATTAGTCTAAGAGACAAAAGGGCCACATAAACCAGAGACTCCATCAGCCTGAGACCAGAAGAACTAGATGGTGCTCAGCTACCACCAATGACTGCCCTGACAGGGAACACAGCAGAGAGTCCCTGACGGAGCAGGAGAAGTGTGAAGCAGAACTCAAATTCATGTAAAAAGACCAGACTTAATGGTCTGACTGAGACTGGAGGAACCCTCGAAACCATGGCCCTTGGACCGTCTGTTAATCCAGAACTAAAACCATTCCTGAAGCCCACTCTTCAGACGTAGACTGGACTACAAGACAAATTAATCCTCATGAGGAGTGTGCTTCTTAGTTCAAGTAGATACACGAGACCAAATGGGTGGCTCCTGTCCAGAGGAAGGATGAGAAGGCAGAAGGGACAGGAGCTGGTTGGATGGACACCAGAAACCTGGGGTGGAAACGAAGAGTGTGCTGTCACATTATAGGGATTCCAACTAGTGTCACATAACAATTACGTGTATAAATTTTTGTATGAGAAATTAACTTGAGCTGTAAATTTTCACCTACAGAATAAAAACAAACAACCCAATAAAAAATGGGCAAAAGATTTAAACAGACACTTCACCAAAGAAGATACATGGACAGTAAGTAAGCACATGAAAAGATGCTCAGTATAATTTTTCATTAGGGAAATGCAAATTAAAATCACAATGAGATACCACTTTGTACCTGTTAGAATGGTAAAATGAAAAAGACTGACCATACCAAGAATTAGGATGTGGAGGAAATGGGACTCTTATATATTGCTGATGGGAATGTAAAATGGTCCAACTACCTTGGGAAACAGCTTGACAGTTTAAGTTAAACACACACCTACCATATGACCCAGCCATTTCAGTGCTAAGTAATTTACCCAAGAGAAAAAGAAATACATGTCCACATGAAGACTTGCACATGTATGAATGTTCACAGCAGCTTTATCTGTAATAGTTGAAAACTGGAAACAACCCAAATGTTCGTCAACAGATGAATGGATAAACAAATTGTGGTACAGCCCTACAATGGAATATTACTCAGAAATAAAAGAGGAATGAAATACTGATACATGTAACAACATGGATGAATCTTAACTATGTTGAATGAAAGAAGCCAATAAAAAAATAATAATACTGTATGATTCCATACAACTCTAGGAAATGCAAACTAATTTATAGTAACAGAAAGCAGCTCAGTGGTTTCTTGGGGATGAGGAGGGGCTAGAGAGCAGAACTACAAAGGGGCATGAGGAAATTTTTGGGTTGATGGGTATGTTCACGATCTTGATTGTGGTGATGGTTTCAAGTGTGTTAAACCTTATCAAATTCTGAGGCCCATAAAACAGTAATACACATAGCTCAACCATAGATACAAGACTAAATGGGCACAGTAGCCCAGGGGCAAGGACAAGAGAGGGGACAGGGAAGCTGGACAAATGGAAATGGGGAACCTAAGGTTGAGAAGGGAAGTGTTGACACGTCACAGGGTTGACAACCAATGTTACAAAACAATATGTGTATTGTTTAATAAGAAACTAATTTGCTCTGTAAACCTTCATCTAAAGCCAAGATGCTTAAAAAAACAAAAAAAAAACTTACCAAATTTTGTAGTTTATGTCAATTATACCTCAACAAGGCTGTTTATTTTTTTAAAAGGCAGCTGTAGTATACTGGTTAGAAAGACAGGTTCTGGAGTCTGGCTGCCTCAGTTCGAATCAAGGCTTTGGACTGGTTTGTTCCAGTTCAAACCTGTGCTGAGAATTTGGACTTCCACCCCAGATATACTGAATCAGAATCTACACTTAAACAAGATCCCCAGGTGATTCTTACGTATAATAAATTTTGAGACCCACTGCTGTACTAGTGGTTCTCAGAATTGGTCCCTAACCAGCACCATCAGCATCACCTCGGAACTTGTTAGAAATGCAAATTTTCAGCAGGGGTTTGAACTGGGTCCAAGCCCTAGTTGGAATACTACTCCATCATTCACCTGCTATGGGACCCCTAGCAGGTTACAACTACTTGATACCTCAGTTACCTGCTCTGTAAAAGGGGATTAATAACAGAACAAAAATTAAATAGGCTAATACACAGAAAGTGTTTGGAACATAGAAGTAGTCCATAAATGGTAACCAGCGCCATTTTCCACTGCAGATGAAGAAACCAATGCTTGGAATTGGAGAGGGTAAAGTATAATAGAAAAAACCCTTATCACCATTCCAGGTGATTCTGGTGGGGCTGAAATTCACTTCACAGTATCTAGTACCCCCAGGATATGTGGCTTAGGCCTGGGCCATAATCATACTCCCAAACCAAACCCAAAACTCACTGCCATTGAGTCGCTTCCAACTCATAGTAACCCTACAGGACTGAGTAGAACTGCCTCATAGGATTTCCAAGGAGCACCTGGTGGATTCGAACTGCTGACCTTTTGGTTAGCAGCCGAACTCTTAAACCACTATTCCACCAGGGTTTCCAATCATACTCCATCCCCCTGGATATGTGATTAGTCTAAGATGTGCAAACATTAATACAAGCTGGGCCAATCAGAGCCTTTTCTGGGATTTATCTGGTTTGAATAAATATATATTGAACACGTCAAAGCAGGGAGACATCTTCTTTCCTCTGGGTTTACCAAGCTGGATGATGTAAGCCTAGAGTACTCTGCCCCATGCCCTCCCCCATCTATCTGGGGAAGCTGTCTCACCTCAGACTCCACAACCCTTACATGAGATTCAAGAGACATTAGCAACAGGATGATGAACATATTTATTTACAACTGGACCAAAAAGGCATACAGGCATATTTTAATTAAAAATAATAATGACGATGATTTAAAAAGTCAGAAAAATCGATGACGCCTGAACCCTTTATGAGGAGTCCATTTCCCCACTCCCCCCAAAAACAATCTCCTTAGGAAAAAAAAAATTCCAAGATTTGAATGAACTTAAGACTCCAATGTCGTTCTCTACTGCTTGGGTTCCCTTTTCTCCAACCTGATTCTTGGTGGACACCGCTTGGCACTGCGGAGTCACTGTGAGGCAAGACTGAGTTCACTGGTTTGATTGGTAGAGCTGGTGAGCGCTGCTGGGAGAATCTTGGGGGAGGGGTGTTCCTAGCTTAACCAGCATCCTGAGCTTTGTCCTGTGGTGGGAGTCCCAAAGGGGCTGGCACAAGGGCGAGTGGCTGTTACTTACACTCTAATCCGGAGTGGGTTTGGTCTCTTACAACTTCAGAGCAAATGACTTTGACATGAACAGGGACGGGCAGGGGTCAGAGAGTGGGGGTTTGCAGAGGGGCTAGGGCAGCCACGTTAGCTCTCTCCTGTGAACACGGGGAGACTGGGTTCCTTGACTATTCCTAGGATCTGGGGGAGGGAATGACAGAACTTACCTTCCATCTTCCTCCTCACAAGCAGTTTTCTGGGAGTCCCAAAAAGGAGGAGGCAAGACTTCTGACAGAGGTGGAGGGGATGGGTCTGGCTAAAAGAGCTGAGTATGGGCACTGAGGCCCGGAACCCCAGGGAGAAAATGCTTTCACCCAGCCACTGAAAGGAGGGGACCTGAGATCACAGGGCTTCCTGGTTCTGTCTGGGAGGGGGAGAAAGGGACCTGTCACCAGCACACTTTGGAAAGCACACTTTCTGCAACCTCCTGCAGAATGGGCTGGGGAGCAATCCTGACAGGGTGAGGACCCTGGCGGCCTTAGCCACCCCTTCCCAGACATAGATGTGGGTGCTTGGCCCTGGAAATACTTGGCCCCAGGTCCAGGGTTTCTTGGCACAATGCTGTGGCCAGTTCACTGCAAGTCTCTTCCTCCTTGCTGGGTCCAGCAAACTCCTGCTGCTCTGAACTGTGGTGATTCCTGCTGTCCTAGAGATCTCGGCCCCATGTACATCCACATCCAGGGAATTTCCTTGTGGCAACCAAGCCTTGGGCTTGCTCCTGGGTGAAAAGCTACCCCAGAGGCCTGGCTGGAAGCCCTGCCTCAGGCAGCTCTGGAGGAGGCTGGGAGGAGATAGAGGGAGGAACGGGGCTGGCAGAGCTGCTTGGCACTGAGGACGCAGTCCGGGCTACAGCTGTGCTTTGTCGTGGCATCAATGGTGAAGACAAGCAGCGAGAGGCTCGGAAGCCTTGCTGAAACCCAACAGGCCCAGCTTCTCCTCTTCCAGGTAGTTGTGGGGTGGCCGACAGCCCTGAGGAACTGAGGTGGAGACAGTGACCAAAACCCAGTATCTTGATGGATTTATCCATCCTGGATCCATTTTGTTAAAAATTTAAGGAAAAAAACCTCGAACCAAAACCAAACCTGAACAAACAGGTCAGAGTTCCTGCTGGAAGGAACTTTCTTAGCACTGAAGAAAAAACAACCCACAAAAAACTCATCCCCCAAAGAACTGGAATAAGATGATGAAGAAAAATGCAAGATTTATCTACAGGTCCTACCGCCCCCGACGCAGCCCCAGGATCCAGGAACACTGTGCCAGGAGTTACATTCCAAATGAGCAGGAGTTATTTTATTTTGCGTGCCTGCAGTTCCCCATGCAGGGGTGGCTTTCCTGTCCAAGGACGGAGTGGGCCTGGCCATGGTCCACTGCATCAGTCTATCTTCACGGCGGCGTAGATTTTGCGGACAAACATGTAGGCTGCGTAGAAGCCAATGGTGCCCGTGAGCAGCCAGAAGGACAGGACCATGAGAGCCGTGTAGCCAAAGTAGAGGAGAGAGGGGATGAACTCGACGATGTCCAGCTGGGGCACAGGCAGGGCAAGAACAGAAGAGTGGACACTTAGTGCCAGCTGGCCATGGCAAACGGTGGGGCCCCGCCCTCACTGATCTAGTGGTGGATATGAGGAAGGGCCTTGCTCCAGGTGTGCAGCAAGGTTCTGGCGTGGCTCACAGCCATGGCTGACACTCATATGTACAAATACCACCTTGTGTGCTCATGACCACCTAGTAGGTTATTATTCCCATTTGACTGATGGGGCACACAGGTTAAACAACACCCACAGTTACACAGCTAGGAAGTAGAGGGCACTGGGATTTGAACCTGGGGCCAGAGCGCTGAAAGTCCAAGGCCCAGTGCCACTGGCCCAGTCCATTTCTCGTGACAGTAGGAGTCTTCCTAGGGAAGACTGGGAGACAAGCTGGAATGCTGTAGGCAGGAATGGCCACAGCTGTGCCCCTTCCTGGGCCAATGGGCCATCTGTAGCCCCCCAAATAGCAGGCTCCTGGACGGTTACAGCAGCTGCCAGCTTAAGGACCAGCATGCCACCATCAGCCTGCCTCAGCCTCTCCTCCAGAGAATGCTTCAGTCACTTCCATTAAAACCTCACACCGATTTTTATCTTGACACATTTTAGACTCCTTTATAACTGGGGGCAAGGTTAGAGGTCTGGGAAAGGATACTAGGATCTGTGTTACTGTGGTGTTTGCTGGGACAAGTGGAGCTTATCTGGTGCTCTGGTACCATGATATGACAGTACACCAGGGACTGAGTGGGGTTTGTTCCAGGGCTCATGGGCAGACATTTGGTCACAAAATGACAGAAGCCCGGAAGAAAACGTAAAGGCCACTATTTGAAACCCTCTCCCCAAGGGCAAATATCTTCAAACTGGGGGTAAAGGCCATATTTGCAGGCTCAACCCCCGTCTCTCCTTATACACATTCTCGTGGCTGGAGGGGGGTGAGAGGGAGGGGAAGGGCAGAGCGGTGGTAAAAAAAAGGAAAAGGACAAAGGCCCTCAGATCTCATGCAGGCCAAGGCTCTCATTTTACGGAGAAGGCAAATGGGGCCAGAAGAAGGGGTTCTGAGAGCAGAAAAGAAAGGCTGGGGCAGAAAGGAGGACGGACAGGAGGCTGCGACGTAATCTCAGGGTCAGTGTAGGAGGCTGTAGTAGCTGGGTTTTGTTTGCCCAACACCATCTCCTGTCTTCCTTCTTCCAGGTATTTTGGGGAACCTACTCCCTACTCTGTGGTTCTGTTGGGACTGTCATCCCTAGTACAAGACTAAGCTAGTCAATCAGAATATGTCATCTGATTGGCCTTGGTGAACAGTTGAGGGATGGGCATGTAACCCAAGCAGAGCCAATGAAATCTTCCCTGGGACTGACATATGATGGTGAAGAAAGACTTTTTTCTTCCTTAGCTCTAGGGCTGCTGAGCTGGAAAGAGAACAGTCTAGGGCTGCCACTGGCCATCCGTCCCCCGTGTAGAAAGAGGCTACCTGCAGAATGAAGCCAAACAAACACACAGGGCTGAGGCAGGACACAGAGCTCTGCTATCATTCGAGGTCCTGGATCCAACCATGCTTCTAGCCAGAATTCCAACTTCTTAAACTTGCCAGTTACACTAGCCAATAAATTCCCTTTTGCTTACACTAGTTTGAACTAGGTTTTGGTCACTTGCCACTCAAAAGAGTTCTGATTCCTATGAACTGTACAGGAGAGAGATTGGTTCTGATGATCCTGGGAACACGACAAAGGTCTGAAGACAGAAGTTACAGGGAGGCAGATTTCACTGTGGATCAAGGAAGACCCTGATAATGATAGGAGCTGTCCAGAGAGAATGAGTGTCAGGAGGAAATGTCTTCTCTGTCACTGCATGTGCTAGATCAGGAGTCGATAAATGTTTTCATAAAAGGACAGATTATATAAATGTTTTAGGTTTTGCGGGCCTTATGGTCTCTGATGCAACTACTCAACTCTGCTGCTGCAATGTAAAAGCAGCCACAGATATGTAAATGAATGAGCATGGCTGTGTTCCAATAAAACTTTATTTACAGAAGCAGGCCTACTGGCCCAGGCTGGTTTGCAGACCCCTGTGCTATATGATCATTTGTTGGGATCGCTGGAGGGTAGGGACATGATCACCTAGAAACAGGAGTGGAATGCTGTACTAAATGATCCTTAAAGTCCTTTCCAGCCTGGTATTTTTGGGAAAGGGCATTCTAAGCATCAACCAACCGACCTACAACTCCACTTTGGGAATAAACCCTGGTTGCAAACGGGGCTACTTGCTTTTGGGCTTTGGAGGTTTCAAGCCCAGCAGGTGAGATCAAGTTTTCAGTGTTAGCCTCAGAGGGTAGGGGCCCATCAGTTACCCTAACTCCCGTCAATGGTCCCTCTGGTTTATGTGTCATTCATGAACCAATCAAAACAGTTCTGGGGATCGTTTGTATTCTTATTCATGCCACTCTCGGGGGACAATGAACTCTGTTGAGTTTACCCGAGTCAGGTAAGCCTGGCTCCTTTTAATTAGCCTACACCTTACCTCTGGCCGGCAGCAAGAAGGCCTCCTAGATGCAGATGAGGCCCTTCCCATTCCCTCCTTACTCTGCAGGACTAAACAGTACTCTTGAATGGAGAAGCCTCCCGAGACAGGAAGCCTGAGGTCCTAAATTTAGGTTCTAAAGACTATTTCAGCATTTTCTGCTTTTACCTTTAACTCTTCTCATCAACTTTCTTTATTCTTTCATTTTATTGTTCCTCTTTTCTAGCTTCTTGAGGTGAAAACTGTATTATCAGACTCTCTTATTTCCTAATAAAAGCACTCATTGTTAGGTGACATCTTTCTTTAAGCACTGCGTTGGCTGCACTGCCTAGGTTTTGACACACAGCACGTTCAATTTCATTCACCCTGAAGGCTTCTGTCTCCCAAACATATAGAACTGGGTCCTGGAACATAGATTCTCTCCCTAAAAAGATACATGTTCTAGAACAGAAGCAGTTCTAGAATGGCTTTGGCCCTCCCCTATCTTGGTGGGAAAGTAAGATTCACACACTTGGTCCCCCCCGTCTCCCCCGCAGCACCCTCCTCTGCACCCTCCTGCTCTGAGAGGGCTAAGGGGCTTCCTCCAGGTGGGTGGTACCTTGTTAACAAAATAAAAGATGGCATAGACCAGGACGTAGAACGCAGATCCCCCCGAGACTAGGAAATTCCTCCACCACCAGCGGTAATCCTGAGAAGGAAACGGAGGAAGGGTCACTAGTGTCTCCAAGCAGACCCTCCTCCCATCAAGTTTCACAGCTGCCTGTGGGGCTACAGACTCTGGGTAAGAACAGTAACGTTTAGGGTGATGGAAATGTTTTCTATCTCGACTGTGATGGTAGTTACACAATTGTATATGTTTCTAAAAATTCACAAGACTGTACATTACAAGGAGTGAACTTCACTGTTCATAAATTATACCTCGATTTTAAAAAACATGCTATGTAGAATCAGCTCATTCAATCCCTGCACCAGCACTCTCAGGCAGGTCCTATTACGATCCCTGATTTACTAGAGGAGCAGAAGGCACAGGGAGGTTAAGCAACTTGCTCAAGATCCAGAGCACTGTGTGGAGGAGCCAGGACTCTTCAGTCAGGTGCTTGTCCCAGAGCCCTTGTTTACCCATCCTGCCAAGAACTAGTCCCCAGAGGGAGGACGGGTCACCCAATCTGCATGAGCCTGTTGGAAAAACTACTACTGGAATGGACTCGATACTGACAAGCCTAATGTTCTCTCATGAAGTCATGGTGACAACTATGTTGTGAGGCAGGTATCGTTAACTCCAGTCAAAAGCTGAAGAAATGGGGCTTGGAAAGGAGAAGTAACTTATTCAAGATCTCAGAGCCAGGAAAAGGGGGGACCATACTGGAAACCCAGACTAGCTTCTCTGCAGAACTTCACTAACCCGTTTAATGCTGGTCCCAGCCTCCCCCTCCCACCTCCTGGGCCCACTCCCCTCACCTCTGCACACAGCTGGAAGTATACCATGACGATGCTGATTTGGGAACAGGACACCACCAGGATGATGAAGACGAGGAACAGGAAGCCAAAGAGGTAATAGAACTGATTCTCCCAGATAGCCTGCAGATACACACAGCTGGCCTTCAGCTGCCCCTGCCCCCACATACCCTGCCTGGTCTCAGGAATGCCATCCCTCAGTAACTGGAGGACTGGCAGACCGCCTCCCTCCAGAGTAGGAATGGAGACACCAGCATGACACCATCAGGGCCTGTGGCCTGGCATGTAGCTGGCTGGCCCCTCCTCCCTGGAGCAGAGGGTGAGCTAGGCTGGTCTTAGGGAGGGGCTAGGTGTGGCTGAGCCTGCTCTGGGCAGGTGCCAGCCTGAACTCGGCAGCTTGCCAGACACTGTGTACATGCCTTACACATCTCCACGTGTGATCTTATGAAAGCTTGGCCTTTTGGGGCTGAGGCTCAGATAGGCTGGGTAACTGGCCCAGTGTTGCACAAACAGAATGGAGGAGGCCTCTCAAGGAGAACGCACAGGCCCCAAGGCAGCCTACCCATCCTCTGACCCTCTTCCTGGGCAGGCTGAGTGGGTGGGGAGGGCAGGACCACTCCAAAGCAGTGGATACTTGTCCAGTATGGACTTGGTAGGAGGCCCTATCTGTGCTGGGCACCAAGGTGAGTCAGCCATACCTGCGTGACTCTAAGGAGTCCCCCGGGCAACTCTCGCTTTGGCTACCAGGGCACACTCTTGGGACAGGAGTAGTCATCATCACAACAGCAGCTACTGTTTAACAAGCGTTTCCTGCATGCCAAGCACTGTGCCCTTCACAAACATGATCTCACTTCAGCCGTGCAATGACCCTGTGAATGAGGGATCCCACTCCCCATTTTCCCGAGAGTTTTGTGTAACTTAGGTGAAGACAAGTAGGGACCCAGAAATTGAAGCAGATGCAATGAAAATACTAAAAATGGTGGTGATTGACTGTTATTTTACTGAAGCAGTTTCTATGAACTGGGCCCTTCCCACACACCAGACCCTGTATACATCGCATATCTCATTTAACCTTCAAAGCCATCTTGAGAGACAGGACTGTTACTCCTATTTCAGGGTGAAGAATGGGGGGCTCTGAGAGGTTGAATGGCCTGTCTGAAACCTCACCGGCAGTAAAAGGCAAAGCACCTATGTGGAGACCAGGATGGGGGTGGGTGAAGACTCCGTGTGTGTGCGGTGGAGGGTAGAAAAGGGGGTCAGGCAACAGTACTCACACTGAAGATAAAGAAGAGCTCGATGAACATGGCGCCGAAGGGCAGTATCCCAGCCATGAGAATGCTGCAGCAGAAGGGGAGGGTAAACACTGCGAGGAGAGCCAGGCCATCTGGAAGCCCCAAGCTCCCTCCAAGCAGCATGAATGAGACAGTGCTCACACAGGTACAGCATCATCCATCTCTTTTGGCATGCTTTTGCGTCATTATAATCTCTTGAGAGAGAGGAAGGGTGGGACTATTCTCCCATTCTCCCCATTTTATAGATGGGGAAACTGAGGTGCAAAGAAGTGAGGTGATTTGCCTGAGATCTAAGTGATGATCTTAACCTGCCTTACCACCCTCTTCCACCTCTCCCCTGCCCTATCCTGGTTACTAGGCTCACACCAAGTCTGGCTACAACCTTGTCCTCTTTAGCTTGCAGAAGCAGCTAAGCTTTCACAAACTCTACTAGAGCTGGCAGGAGCTGCAGGAACATGGGTCATAGCACCCTTGGGGAGAGGGTACTCTCTTCCATGTCCTCCTGGGGAGACAGCTCAGGGTACTGTTGGCCTTGTCCACCCTGGAAGCCCCCTGCCCAATAACTCACCCCACAAACCGGTTCATGTACCACCGCTGCTCAGGGATCTGCCGGGGAATCTGGTTGGTGCGTACAGGGTTGTCATATGGCTGCTTGCGGAAGCCGAAATAGTAGCCCAAGTAGATGAGGGGCAGGGAGATCCCAAACCACATGCACAGCAGAGCCACCATAGTGGGAAAGGGCACCTGTGGACACAGTGCCCATGAGGCCCCCACACGGCCCAGAGAAGGCTAAGGAGGGGCTCCATGCACAACAGGGCCACCATCATGAAGAAGGTCCTGCTGGCACAGCCCCCTTCAAGGCTCCTGTGCTCAAGGCCAGAGCCTCTTGGGGCTGGCTCTAGCCCTGGGAACAAGTAGAGAGCAGATGCAGGGTGATTTGGGCTCCCAGTGAAGAAGGAACCATGGCATCCCAAAAGAGCTAGTCATCCAGGAAGAAAGTAGGGAAAGAACAGGGATAGAAAGGACTGAGAACATGAAGGGGAGATGACGGGAAATTAAATGCAGTACATTAAGGAAAAAAAAAAAAAATTTACATAAATAATGTGTTCTTAATTTTGTTAAAACAATATATTAAGTGAAAAAAGCAGGTTCTAAAACAGGCACCTGCAGGTACAGAGCATGGCAAATGCCTGGCCCAACGCCACTGCAGCCCAGCTTCTTGATGAAGGCTCTACCTCCCCTACCCCAAATAAGCTCAGAATCCTACTGGGTAAGTCCTGGGCAGCTGCTAGCAATGGAACGAGGCTGGCAGGATCCCCTGTCGTTCCTACAGTTATGGGTGAGGATCTCCGTAAAGAGGAGCCTGACTGAGACTCTTCTTTTCCAGGCCAGCTTACACCATGCACATGTCCCCACATTAACAGTGGTCTATACTTGGCCCACCAGCTAAAGAACCTCCCACAGATGTTACTCCCATTTTGTGACAACATGGGTGCTCAGTACTTTATGCTGCACTGATTTTGAGGCCCATAACATTCTCAGGGAGTCCGGGTATGCTGGAAAAATCAGTCAGATGACTGGTGTCTGCAATGCCTGCAGTGAGATCCCCGTAAGGTGGTGTTAAAGGTGGTCCCTGAGACTAAGGGAGACTCCTGGTATTTCTCCAATTATGTGTGACTTAACACCAAAGCCCCCAGGAACTAGGGCGTGGAAGCAATAAACTTCTTGTCCTATTAGAAAACAAAACAAAACACTGTATAGATAGAAGGATCCCATTTTTATACAAACACCGCAATATTTATATGGTTATATGCTTGGAAAAGCCTATGCCAAAAAGTGAACAGTATTTCCTCAGATGGGATGTGGGGAGATTAGAACTGATTCCTCATTTTCTTTTTTATCCTCTTCTGTACAGTATTCTGCTTTCACAAGACTTGTGCAAAAAGTAAGAAATGAATATATGTAATATGTTTAGAATGGCGCTTATTACAAATCAAGCACCATATAAATGTTTATTATTTTATAATTTTCAAATTACATAACTCCATGGTAAAAGTATCTGTAAAAAAGGAAAAAGATGGAAAGAACATATACTAATCTACATAGCATCTATCCCTGGGCAGTTAGATACGTGTTATTTTCTTTAACTTCTCTGTACTTATCCAAAATTTTTACAATGGGAGAAAAATGCTGAGAGACAGAGAGAAGCAAAACAGGTAGAGAAAATGGAGGAAGTGAGAATGAAGAGCATGACTCCTCTGGCCGGCTGGACTGAGAGCCTCACTCAAGGCCCTTTAACGGGCACCTGCAAGCAGAGGGGATGGCAAATGCCTGGCCCACCCCCACTGTAGCCCAGCTACTTGATGAAGATCCCATCTCCCCCAACCCCGACTGAGGTCAGAATCCTACTGGGTTAAGTCCCAGGCAGTTGCCAGCAATAGACTGGGGCTGGCAGGATCCCCGCTCTAAGGGACAGGACAACCTCATCCTCCCCTTCCTCCCTGCCTCTACCTGCAGAGGCTGGTGCTGGGGCATAAAGCCCTGTTTTGGGATACTGACCTAATACACTCACACCAGGCCACTCTCCCTTGGTGAACAACAAAGGGAAATTCCCCAGTTGGCCCCTGGACTGTGGAAACTTCCCTTTAGAGAAGTGAGCTTTGGCCAGCTGTCTGGAAGAGCCCACAGGAAGGCCAGGGCAGGGGCAGTGGATGGGCAGAGCTGGGGAAACCCCAGCTAGCACTCAGCCCCCAGGGCTGGGAACAGAGCTCTGAGGACTCAGAAAAGGGAAGGGGGACAGCAGGAAGTGACCTGGGGAAGTGGGGATGAGCACAGCAAACTCTCCCTTGCTGGGGGAGGGGAAGGGCACTTACCGCTCCTGATGAGTGCTTTCCCCAGATGAAGCAATTTAACACGAAGCAGATGCCAAACACCACCCCAGGGTACAGCGTTGCTGTCTGGAAGCAACAGGGGCCAGGCTGGGGAGCTGCATCCAGGCACTCCCACCTGGCCCAGTGGGCTCCCAGACCAGAGGTTCTCCATCCCTCCTGCCCTTCAGGACTTAGCTCAAGCGTCGTTTCTTTCAGAAAGCCTTCCCTGATCCCTAGCCCAGACAGTCCTCCTGTTTTATGCCCTCTTAGATCGCTGAATTGCCCCTTCCTCACCCTCATCCCAGTTTGTAATTATGCATCTTTGTTACCTGATCAATGTCTGCCCACCCCCAACAGACTGTGAGCTCCTTGGGAGGAGTGTGCCGGTCTCACTCACTGATGGACTCCCAGCACTTAGAACACAGAAGCTGCTCAATAAATATTTGTTGAATAAGTGAACAAATGAATAAAACTTTACAAATATATGTCTCAGCCCTAACTCAAACCACCTGGATTGTGACAGTAACATAATGGCGGATAGGCTGTAGTTGAGTCTTAGTGCTGGCAGGCACTGGGCTCTACCTATACCATCTCACCTGATCCTCACTACAGCTCCAGACAGGAAGGACCGTCATCATTTCCTTTTATAGATGAGGACGCTGAGGCCCAGCAATGTTAATCACATCCCTCTCCCCAACTTTATACAGTCAGCTAAGGGTAGAGCAGAGGTTCCAATGCAGACGAACTGACTCCAGTGCCCAGGATCTCGGCCCACTGTGGTGTATCATATTTAGTCAGAATCTTTTGGGCTGGGCCCAGGCTTGTGGAACCAAATTCCCAACCTACAATTGAGGTTCCTTCTTGCCATGATGGGGCCTCCAAGCCCCAAACCACTGTGGCTGCCTAAGTATCCAGGCGGGTCATTGACTACGCTGACTGAGACTCTGCAATCTGGTGCTCAACCTCCACGGCCTGCTTCACCTTTGGCCCATGGCCCCCGGCACCCAACCACTAGTCACTGCTCCTATGCGTCCCCATCCCTGGGCCTGTACATAGGTGGAGTTATCAACACCTCAGAACCTTCCCTTCCGTAATCTTTACGGAAGCAGACTGCCACATCTTTCTCCCATGGAACAGTGCTGTGCTAAGGGCCTTACATGCACAGTCTCTTCCCATCCATGCAACATCCCTGAGACATAATTATCCCTATTGGAGAGATGGGGAAACTGAGGCTCAAAGGGCTGTTCAAGGTTACCATATGAGGAAAGAACAGAGCCATGACTGTAATCTAGGTGATTCCAGAACCTGAGGCCCAACCACTACTGGCTACTTCCCTCAACCTGAAGCCCTCATCTTTGATGATCAGCTCAAAGGTCATTTCCTCCCTTCTTCTGTGCTCCTGTCTGCTTTACTCTGCTATGTAGCAGGTAATTCCTCATCTCCTTCCCGGCTGAAATTTATGGAGTTGACACGGTGTTAGGTACTAGGGAAACAAACAGGAACAAAAGTTCCAGGGAGGAAGACAGATCATAAAAGTAGAAACAACATACAAGGCACTACTTGCAGGCCCAAGGCTCTGCCCAGGCTCCTTTGCAGCACCAAGGAGGACGCTGAGGTCCGAATAGGGAAGGAAGAGGGAGGAAGCCTCGAGAGGAGTAACGCTGGAGCTAAGACTTAAAGTATGAGGGGACGCTGACCAGGAAAGAAGAGTGAGGGGAGGGTAGGTGGCCCGGGCAGAGGGAATAGCACAGGCAAAGGCTGGAGGAGAGAACAGTTGTATGCCTGCACTGCTGTGGGCTGCAGCAGATGCCCACCTGTGGAGGAAGGCAGACCACCAGGGAAGGGTCAGAATCTTACAGGGTGACCAGGAAGGTCAAGGGCCCAGATGAGATGCAAAGATGCCTGAACTTGGGCCTGAGCTCGGAGATGAAGAAAACCAAAACCAAAAACCACTGCTGTTGAGTGGATTCTGACTCACAGAGGCCCTCTAGGAAAAGCAGAACTGCCTGCCAGGGTTTCTAAGGCTGTAATCTTTACTGAAGCAGATTGCCACATCTTTCTTCCACGTAACGGTAGGTGGGTTCGAACTGCCAACCTTTCGGTTAGCAGCCGAGCCCTTAACCACTGCACCACAAGGGCTCCTTGGAGATGGAGAGGTGGGAGGAAATTCATAGAACATTTAGCAAGAAAACCCTCAACGTTTGAGGTCTGAGAAGAGGTGGCACACAGGGGAGTAGAAAGAGGAAAGGAAGCTACCCAGGTTTCTGCTTCGGGGCCTGGGTGAATGAGCCTACCACTGAATGCTAGCAGAAGGTTTGGGGCAGAGACCGGGTTCAAGGTGAGAGCAGATCCTGGAGGGTATGTGATGGAAGATCTCACTGGAGAAGAGCCCCATCAAGGGAGGAAAGCAGTGCGCAGTACCCCTCTCTAGATCCCCAGCTTACAGCACTCGGGCCTGAGAAAAATACTTGATGTATCAGGAACTCAGCAATTTCTCTTTGATTCATTCTGAATAATCACCATCACATCTCTTCTTCACTGAGAGCCTACTATGTGCCAGGGGTATGGCAGCCAGAGGTGGTGCAGCCTAAGCTCTCCCTGGTCTTTGAACAGCTGTGAAAATCGTTTCCGAATGCAGAGACTAGAGGCTTCTCTGAGTTTGGGCACCTGAGACCTTTCCTGGTCCTCTAAGAGCCTCACTTGCTCTCGGAGAAGGGGCTGAGGGCTCCTGGGAGGTGAGGTCTACTTCCCAGTCTCCCTCCAGCTTCTATGGTCTTCTTTTAAAGCCAAGATCCCTCCTAGCCACCACGAGAAGAGAGAGAAGGGCAGTTGTCCTCACTGAAAAGGACATGAGGCACTGAAGTCTGGGAATCAGGCTGATGGAGATGTGAGGCTGGCCTCTTCTCTCTTCACTCTGTTGGGCAGGGTGCTCTCCCAGCAGCCTTGCTGATCAGTTTTTGACCCTAAACTTTGACACCTGGGCTTGGTGCCTAAATTCTGTTCATTCTATATCCCCTATTTCTTCTCCTGCTTGAACCATCGAACAATGTAGACTAAAAATCATCTAAATTCAATCCTTTTATTTTATGGTTGGGGCAACTAATGGCTTAAGAGGTTCCTCTGCGAGCCTACGAGTAAGAGCCTAGTATTCCTGACAGTCAGCGTGTTGTTGCTCAGCCTCTAGCCCTGCCTCCCCTCCCCCAGGGCCTGCCTCCCCTCCTCCATTTGAGCTGCTCTGATTCCTGGGCCTATGGCCTCTGCCCAGGAGGAAGCTTCTTGGCTCCCCACCAAATGCCAGGGGGAGGTTTAGGATACTTACACAGAAGGCTCCTTTCTTCCACCGGTGGCCTTTTAGAGTGCGGTACAGACGGCCAGCAGAAAATCCACCAAACACCCTGTGGGAAAACAGGAGGGACCTGTTAGCTGGAGGGAAGGAGGTCTGTGCCAGCTCCCAGAGCCTGCACAGTCATACCTACCCCATGAACATGAAGAGGAAGCAGGCCGTGGTCATGAGCGCTCCCCGGCTGGAGGGCGACAGCATGCCAAGCATGGCCACAACTGTGGAGGAAGGGAGGAAAGGAAGAGAAAGTAAGGGTGGCTGATCGCCAGACTCCCAACTCCCAACCTCCATCCTAGGCTGACTGACAGGGTCCTTTCTGACCTTGGCCTTCTCAATTGCATAGACCCTTCTCCGCTACGGGAGAAGAGTAGGTCTTTGCTGGGGTTCAGAGGGTTGCAGCAGCTACTAGGCCTTTGCCGTCCTACTTTTACCTGCAGCTTCCAGCCGCAGGGCACCTGTGATAAGCCAGGCAAGGGGCTAAGAGCACTATATATGCTAGCTCACTGAATCCACCTATTAACCCTGCGAAGCAGAGGCTACCTTCCCCATTTTGCAGACAAGGAAACCGGGGCTCAGAGGTTAAGTGACTTGCCTGAGGTCACAAAGCTTGCAGACAAGAGGCAGAGATACAAATCTAGGTAGACTGACTCCAGAACTGTCTCTAACTACTACTTAGTAGTTTTTTTTGTTTAGGAAAAAAGGTGTGATTCCAGTCCCAATCCTGGTACTGACTAGCTACATGTGACTTTGGGCAAGTCACTTAACCTCTGATACCATTCCTGACTGCTCAACTGCAAAAGGAGGCCAACTTCATGGCACTGATGTGCGGCTTCAAGTACAGAGTGGATGTGGTGGGCTCTGTACACAGCGCTGCAAAGCTGTGAGAAGGACCACTGGGACCAAGGCCTGGGGCTGAGAGGGTCTATCCCTCTTGCTAGGATGGGTGCTTGTCTGGCCCAGGAATGCTAAGATGCCTACCCAGCGCCTCTTCTCCAGGGAAGGAAGCCTACCCTGCTCTTCCGGAGGCATGTGGCAGAGACAGCCACGCCTCAGAATTAGGCCCCCATGCTCCTCATGCGACAGCCCCACACCTGGCCCTGCTGGGCACTCACAGATGACAATGAGGATCATACAGAAGAGCTGAATGCCAGAGCCCAGCAGGGAGCTGAGGATCATGGGGTATTGGGGTGGCCTGAAGACATCACCATGCACCAGCTTCCATCCCGACTCTTCCATGGTGTCTTCCTGCAGCAAAGGGCCGGAGTGAACGTGGTTCTTAGGGGAGGAGGCCGGTCCTGCAGACACCACCCCCAAACTGGGGCTAAGGGTCCCTCAAGTGTCAACCAGCCCCTCTCTGAACAGTCAGAAAACACAGGTATGTCAGTGATATGAGGAAGTGCTCCTCAGAAAAGTGTCACATGGGAACGGAAGGAACAAACATGATGGTGACAGCTCAGTAAAAGGAAAGTCTCTTCCCCAAATTCCACAAACCTAATGCACGGGAAGAAGGAATGTAAAAACATCAACATGCTAAAATGTTAACTGCAATAGTTTTTGGGTGGTAAGATTTAGAAGCAATTTATTATTTTTTTTCTGATTATAAAAGTAGCATGTGTTCTTACTTGTGAATAAAAAAAGTAAAAAATCTGTTTTTAGTATACAGCATGAAAGTCAAATAACAAAAAGAAATAGATGTTTGTTATGGAAAAACTTTTAAAAATACAGAAAGATATAAAAAAGAAAATAATGATCTATACTCCCACCACTTAATGATGTCACTGTTTTTTGGACATATTTCCTTTAGTCTTTTATGTATGTACGCATGTACATGTATATAGGCCGTCCTATACGTGTCACTTACGGACAACTCGTACTTGCCCTTTAATGTTATGTACATTTGCCCTCACTTTCAAACGACTGAACCAACCCCTACTCGCAATAATGTCTTCAGCACAATCACTTTCACTTGCTGCAGGTGCGGCTTTTAAAACACTGAAAAGGCCTGAAGCCTTTTAAGGCTAAAAATCATACGCACCTGTTCCAACTTACCTACAAATTCGACTTAAAGACATAATTATGAATGGATCTCATCTGGGACCCAGGCACTGCCTGTATACAATTTTGAAACAATAAAACGGGGACCATACTATATTCACTCTTCATTTTGTCACTTTTGGTCAATATTTGGCTGTGAGCATTTCCTCATGTCACTACTCTTTGAAAGTACTATTTTAGTGCCTGCATAATTTTTCATTGTAGAGCTGTATCATAATTTACCCTCTCTGCTGTTGTAGGAAAATTAGGCTATACCCAGTTTCTTTCAATTATAAATAAAGCTGCAATAAATATATGTGTGGACCAAGTCTGAGGTGTGAGTTTTTGATTCCTAGGAAAACTTCTAGAACAATTACACTGTCAAAGTGAGTTAACTATTTTACAGTTCTTGACATGTACTGACAATTGCTTTTCAGAAAATAATTTACACTGCCATGGATGGTACGTGAAGGGGCTTGTCTCATGTTAACTGGCCAACAACTAGTATTAAAAAAAAAAAAAAACAACTGTGCTAATTCGTGAGTCCCTCCTCACTAAGACTGCCCTCTGTCTCGCAGTTCCTCCCTCCCCAGCCAAGACCTCGTACAATGTCATCCTCCTTGTTATAGTTAGCGATGTCCTTCCGGAGGGTCCGGATGATGATCATGCTCAGGATGCCTGAAACAGACAGGGGTGGGGAGGAGTCGTCGGCATTGCCAGCCCTGTTGTCTGTGCTCCATGCCCTCCTGTGGTTTGGTGAGCATGGCACGGCTTCCTTCCTCCAGCAGAAATTGGCAGTGCAGCCATTTCAGGTCCTCTACTGGGTGCAGCTCCACTACAGCTACCCGGGAAGGGGTGCACGGAGGGCGCACCCAAGCAGGGGAATGGAAGGACTGCTGAGATGGGTGGGGGAAGCCACAGGACACTGATTTTATTCCAGGGAGAACAGCATCCCAGCTCCTCCATGGGTTGGTCCTACTAACTTCTCCAGCCTCATCTCCTCCCAGGCTCACCTCCCACTCATTTCTGGTTATTTGTTGCTTATAGTTACAGTTCAGAGTATCATCTCTCTCCCCTTTCCTTTCTCCCCTCCTCTTTACCCTTACTCTTACCTTTGTCCATAATGCCTCTCCCTGCCCTAACTCCTCTTCATGCTTCAAGACTCAGACCCAGCATCTTTAACCCCCCCGACACCCCTAAGCAGTTCAGAGGCCCCCATTTGTGCTTCCATAGCACTTTCTGTACCTCTTTAGGCAGCACAGTGTAGTGGTTAAGAGAATGGGCTGTAGGACCTCGGGCTAACATACTTAATGCTTTCAGGCTTAGCTCATGGGGCTTCAAGGATTGAGATGTTTGTAAAGTGCTTAGCATAGCAGTTGGCCCCTGAGGAAATGCTTGATAAACAGTAGTTAACATTATCTTTGGCACAGTCCTGGCAATCTACTTCTCAAAAAATCAGCCAATGAAATTCACGTGGATCACAGAGGTCTGACCCACTGTGCATGGAGTTGCTATGAGTCAGGGGCAACTTGCTGGCAGCTAACAGTAACAACATTGTTTTTACCTCCCAACTGATAGTGAAGTGATTAGTTTCATTCCACCTCTGCCTACCATCCTTCCCCTTGCTCACCACCCTCTCAAAAACCGGCTTTTTGCCAAGCTTGTCCCCCTGCAGGGGGGGTGGTCCTTGCTGGAACAGTCTTTCCCTGGGTCTCTGAGTGGACGCTCCTCCTATCAGAGAGGCCTTCTCTAAAGGAGACTTCATCCTTCCCTCAACTGCTGTGTATTTGGCCTCCTTATTTATCTGCTTCACAGCACTATTGACTGACTGGAACTCCACTACATATTTGCTTTTTTGCTTCTCTCCCGCTACTAGAATACAGACTCCATGGGGACAGAAACTGTGTTGGGCTTGCTAATACCATACCCCAGCATCGGGCACAGAATCAGCAACAACAAACTCTCTGCTGAATGAATCAATGAACAAACATATAAATAGATGTATCTGTCTTCCTCTAATAAGCTCTCCAGAGTAGCCTGAATCTTGTTCATCTATGTACACCTGATGTCTCTTTTTGACCCACAGTTGGACCCAAGAACACCTGAGCAGTCCCCCATAAGTGACATGATGCCTCAGTCCCTCATCCCTCACCCCCTGGCTCTCCCCAACTGTTGAGTCATGAGACCTCTCACCTGACAGGAAGAAGACCACCACGACAGAGTTAATGATGGAAAACCAGTGGATCTGCACATCACTCATGGTCAGGTAAGTATCCCACCGCGAGGCCCATTTGATGTCACTTTCCTGGTGGGCGGGAAGAAGCACTAAGAGTCAGGGCTCTTGCGCCAGATCAGAACCCTCCTTCCCTGCCCTTGGGCCCCGGACGCTTCTCACCTCCCAGTGTACGGAGTAGGTGAAGAATAGCTGATTCTCCTTGGTAGGGTCAATTTCTTGGGGTGAGGAGTTGGTCCCCTCAGGCAGGGTGCATGAACTCTTCTCATCTGTTTTGATGTCTGTGAGAGACAGAAACTCGGTCTGTTCCTGAGGGGCTGCATGCTGCTGGGACAGACCCTGGCCTTCAGGACCTGAGTGGAGGCTGCTACAGCTGGCAACAGGGCTTTTAAATTATGCTCCCCAGAGCCCTGACCTCTCAAAGGGCCTTAGGGGCTGCAGAGAGGTGTGTGCATTGGGGAGAGGGGCTGACTCCCTCACTTAGTCAATCAATCTTCCTTCACTTCACTTCCTTGACTCACTCAGTTAATCCCGTTCAACACACAAAACAACACTGACTGACTCGATCATTCATTTAATCACTCCTTTGGGCACTTTTGTAATTCAGCCACTTGGATGCTTCCTTCAATCATTCATTCATTTACTCATTTGTTCATCTCATTATCCATCCATTCATTCAACCATCAAACATATAATAAGCACCTACTATGTCCCAGGTACTGTGCTGGGTGCTGGACACAATCTTTAACCTCAAAGAGCCAGGAGAGGGCAAATGCTTTCAAATCATCACGTACATAAATGTAAACTGTGTTCACGAAACTCACTGAAGGGGAGAAAGCATGGTGTTCTGAAACTATCCAATCTGTTCTATGTAAGACTTCTGTGTGAGATTTTATTTGAAAAATAGTTCTATAGCCTTAAAAAAAAAAAGCTAGAAAACCAGCACCATGGACAAAAGACCAGGCCTGCTTGACTGCAGAGCGCCCTGTGGTGAAGGAGGGCTGACAGGTGAGGTGATGTTGGACCAGGTCCTATCAGGCCCATGAGGCCTGGGGCCGGGCTCTCGAATTCCCTCACAACTGTGGACTCTGGGCAAATTTTAGTTTATGCCAATAATTCACACAGAGGGAGTGAAACAGAAGAAACGTGCTGCCCAATCGCTTTGCTTGTATCCCTGTCCCTTGTTCATCAGCCCAGGGTGAGCTCGCTGGTTTCCGTGAAGAGGCCCAGGACAGTCCAAACTTGCTGCTTGATCTTGGCCAGGTCACTAACCTCTCTGAGCCTCTAGTTCCTCATATGTAACCACCACATATCTCCTGGGGTTGCTGGAAGGAGGTAAAAAGGTAAGGTGCCCACAAGAAAAGTATTAGCCCAAGAGATGGAAAGGGCCACATAAACCAGAGACTCCATCAGCCTGAGACCAGAAGAACTAGACACTGCCGGGCTACCACCAATGACCGCCCTGACAAGGAACACAACACGGAGTCCCTGATGGAGCAGGAGAAAAGTGGGGTACAGAACTCAAATTCTAGTAAAAACACCAGACTTAATGGTCTGAGACTGGAGGGACCCTGGAAGACATGGCCCCCGGACTTTCTGTTAGCCCAAAACTAAAACCATTCCGAGGCCAACTCTTCAGACAAAGATTAGACTGGACTATGGGACATAAAATGATACTCGTGAAGAATGTGCTTCTTAGCTCAAGCAGATACATAAGACTTAATGGACAGCTCCTGTCCAGAGGCGAGATGAGAAGGCAGAGACGGGCAGGAGCTGGTTGAATGGACACGGGAAACCTGGGGTGGAAAGGAGGAGTGTGCTGTCACAGTATGGGGAGAGCAACTAGGGTGACATAACAAACAATGTGTGTATAAATTTTTTATATGAGAGACTAACTTGAATTGTAAACTTTCACTTAAAGCACAATTTAAAAAAAAAAAAAAAAAAAAAAGGTAAGGTGTCCAGTTTAGGACACAACAGATGTCAGCCCCCTGTCCCCGTCTCAAATGGGAATGCAGTGGCCCTAGCTTGGCTGGGCCCAGATGCCATTAACCTGGGCCTATCAGTCTAGAGGGCATTTCAGGAGCCAAGAGTGAGAAGACCCTGGTGTGGAAGCCCAGCCCCATCCAGCCCTGCCCCTCTGGCCATACCTCCCCACTCACCCTCCAGCCTGATGCTCTGGGGAATCACCTCGAAGCGGACGACACGGTATGTGTGCTCTTGGTCCTCTTCCACATCCTCCCGGTGGTAGTAAAGGATGAACGAGAGGTGATTGTGCAAGTAGATCTAAAATGGAGCAACACAGACAACAGCTAGTAGCCAAGGAACAACCAGAAAATCATCCAGGGAGATCACCCCAGGCCTGGGTTCCTCCCCTCGTCCAGCATGCTCAGCTGCACCAACCTTCCAAAAACACTGCTCTCATCATGTTGCTCTCTCTGTTTACCAGCTAAAAGCCCAAATCCCTTAGCCTGACATTCAGGGCCTTCTATCATCTGACCTGAGTATATCTGCTGTCATCATTTTCTAAGCCACGTGAACCCACCTGGTCTCCCCAGCCCCTCCCTGGCCCACGAACAGTCCCTACTCTGCTTTCTGTTCACAGCACTTACCCCAACTGGAATGCCACCCTGACTCAACTCAGTTCAAGTCTACCTATTTTCAAGGCCTACTTCCTCTCCAGGGGCCCCAGTGCACAGTGAGTTCCCTCTGAACTCCTCTGGCACTGACAATCAGCAAAGGCAAGTGGGACTTAAGATCCAGGCCTTACACTGTCAGTTCTCCTCCCAATTAGGACAGAAGCCCTTTGAGGATGGGGCTGTGCCTCAAAAGAAATGCTTTTGTCTTTAACTCCCTAAGTGATATTTATCAGTTTAGAAAGTTAGAAAGATAAGCAAAGACAATCACTGTTAAAATCATCATCACTATTAGTGTATTTCTCAAGGGCTGTGCTACAAGGAAGGAATCCTGGTGGTGCACTGCTTAAGTGCTCAGCTGATAACCCAAAGGTTGGCAGTTTGAACCCACTAGCCGCTCCAAGGGAGAAAGATGTGACGGTTGGCTTCTATGAAGATTTACAGCCTTGGCAACTCTATGGGGCAGTTCCACTCTGTCCTATACGGTCACTATGAGTCAGGATTGACTTGACAGCAGTGGGTTTGGGTTTTGTGCTACAAAGTGCTGACATGGATTATCTGATTTTCTCTGCAAAACAATCCCATAGGGCAGATGTGGCTGTTACTACATTTTACAGATAAGAAAAGGGATGCTCAGAGAAGGGAAGCCAGAAGCTCGAGGTCACCCAGGCAACTAGTAAGCTGCATAAGCAGGATCAAACCCAGGGAGCGGCATGGCCAAGATTACTACTTAGCCCTCTCTCCTGTATACGATGAAATTCCAGCTTTTGTTGTTGTTATTTTAATCTTATAAAAATAAAAATGGAATCTGACCTTGAAGGGACACTGACTTCCACTCCTTCAGCATTTATCACAGCCTGGCCCAAAGCACTCAGACTTCTGACAGACCATGCCCAGGGACACCAGGAGACGCTCCCCTCGGCTAAGACCCATCTTTTCTGTATCATAAGCTCAGAGCTAAATGTCTCTCCCTTCTCTGTGGCCCTGAGTCCTTGTGACCTGTGCAGGAGATACTCTACCTTGTTGACATCCGTGAAGCCGAGCCGGTAGCCATGTTCAAACTGCACATCTTTTTCCTTCTTCTTGTCATCGCTGTCGCGGTTGGAGTAGAGCTCCAGCCGGGTGGCCACAGGCAAGTTGTCGGCAATCCTGGAAACCCAAGGCCCCGCTCAGTGCCCCAGGACCGCCTCTCCCAGCACTGCCCTCCCCTAAATGAATTCGATGCCAGCAGGGAGCAGAGGCCAACTTACAGGTGGACATAGTAGTCCTCCGTGATCCGCTCGGCCACAAGCCGGCTCTGCTCCACTGTCAGGGTCATGGGCTTGTTGGACTGGCTGCACAGAACTTCACACTTCTTCTCGCTATTCATGAGAACCTGGAAAGGGGTGTTGACAATCCGGTCCCCTCTCAGCACCTCTCCTGCCATAAGAGAGACAGATCGAGCTCAGAGCTTCAGCTCTGAGGTTGCTGAGATTGGTATAGTCACACAAACAGAACCACAGGGCAAACAATGGACTTCCATGGGGTAGAAAGGGGGAGAGTGCTGACACATTGTGGTGATTGCAACCAATGCCACAAAACAATTTTTGTGTAAAAATTTTTGAATGAGAAACTAACTTGTGCTGTAAACTTTCACCTAAAGCACAATAAAATTATTTAAAAAAGGACTTCCGGGGCCTTTAGCAGTTCTTAGCCCTTCCCCATCTAGGTCCATGCCGATCTAACCTTCTACCTGTCACCCTCCCCTCCCCCTTTATGCCCTAGCACCACCAACCTCTCAGAGTTCTTCAAATATCTCACACTGTTTCATGCCTCTGGGCCTCACCCTCTCATGCCTGGAGTGCCCTTCCTTGCCCCATGCTCCCGGAAACTCCTCCTCACCTTTCAAACTCAGCTTCTATTTCACTCTCTCCTTGAAGACCTTCCTGACCTCTTCCGGGCAGAGCTTGTCACTCCCTCCTCTGAATTCCCTCCATACGGAGGCAGCATCATGTAGTAGTGAAGACAGTGGGCTCTAACTCCAGGCCATCTGTGTCTGAACTCTGGCTCTGCCACTTACTAGCTGAACAATCCCGAATAAGTCACTTAACCTCAATAAGCCTCAATTTCCCCATCTGTAAAATGGGGATAGAAGTACCTACCTCCTGAGAAATAAAGGCATCAATACAAGTAAAGTGCCAGGTACAGAGCAGGCAGGCAACAGATACTGTTAGTCAGCAGCATCGCCTCTGCACCTTTTCGTACACCAGTGATGGTACTCTGCACAGTGTGCTGATGTATTTATGTTCCAGGCTCCCCTACCCAATTATGAGCTCTTTAAGGGCAGAGATTGTTTCCTATTTTTCTGTCTTCAGACCCTGGTTCAGGCAGGGAGGGAAGGAGGGTGAAATCTAACCCCTGAGATTTTTAGCCAAAACATCTTTTTCCTTAGTGAACTGGCAGGCCCCTTGCATGCCTGCTGCCTCAGAATAACCTGCTGCCAGATGCTGTGCGAGCAGGCACTGAGCACCAAGGGACTGCCAATTAAACTGAACAGCACTTTCATTCCGAGCCATTCTAGCAATTCTACTATGATGATGTGAAACCGGGGCAAGCCGAAGGAGACTAATGCCTTCACGTGCACTTGGTTTAACACTTGCCTACCAAGTGTGGACACTTGGTGTGGCACTCTCTGTCTAGTCTTTCATTCACTCACAAACATGTACTGTGTACTGGCTATGTGACGGACCCTGAAGATACAACGGTGAGCAGGTGTACTTAAGGAGCTTATTACGGTCCAGTGGGAAGGTGGACTCTGATAAAGTAATCACAATAATGACAATACATCGTGTAACAAGAGGAACTTGCTTGAGACATGGGGGAATAGGCCTAGTAAAGTTTCCCTGAGAAAGTGGTGCTTGAAGTGAGCTCTAAAAGAAAAGAGGAGTTAACTACATAAAGAGATAACGGAAGAAAATCTAGATAGAAGGAACAGTATGTCTATGTGGTTGCAATGCAGAGAGCAAGGGAGACAGTGACTCAAGGGGAGCGTGAGAGATAGGCCAGAGCTAGACCTCATGGGGCCTGGGCCACACTGGAGGTTCGATCTTTATCCAGAGAGCAACAAAAGCCAATGAAAGGTTTCCAACAAAGGCAGGGGAAGACGTTACCTGATTCTGGTTACACAAAGATCACTTAGGCAGTTTTGTGAAAACATGGAGAATGCAAAGAACTGGCTGGAGGCCTGATAATGCAGGTGAGCCTGCAAAGCCCAGGGATGGACAGGCCAGCGGACAGCAAGGGCACCAATAAGACATCTGCATGGCCCACTGCTGCAGTGATTTGGGTCATCCTCTGCCATTTTACAGATGATGAAGCTGAAGACCAAAGAAGGACAGCGACTTGCCCGTGATCATATAAGGGAGTGTAAGCATGCTAAACACCTGGGCTCTTTCCTCTACACCAGGCCCGACTGCCCACTTCTGTTCAGGTCATCAGGGAGCTTGCCTAGGAGGGGAAGAAAACACAGAGAGCAGAACAGAGCTGCAGACCAAGGAAGGCAGGTAACACTTCTTGATATCTGGAAATTAAATTTAAACCAAGAAAGAGGACATACTGGTCTGGAATGGCTCCTTTCTAATGCAGAAGTATTCCTTTGAACTTTGTCAAGCTGGGAATAGACAGCCACCACGCTACATGAGCAGCAAGCTATGAATGGGGACCCCTAAGAGAATCTGATGTTGTACTCCAGTACATCTCCACAGTTGCTCCAACACACGCACCATGACACCAATCCCCATCAATGCGGTCATCATGAGCACAGCCCTCACACAGCCCAAATAAGCCTTTGGGCAGCCTGAGACAATGGAAACAATTCTGGCTTTTGAGTAAAAAAAAAAAAACAACAACAAAAAACCTGGGTTAAAATCTCAATTTCTCCACCTATGTGTCACATGACCCTGAGCAAGTGTTTCCAATCCATGAAGCCGCTGTTCCCTCTACTATGAAATGGAGGTAATCATATTTGGCTTGAGAGTTAACTACAAGAATCTGAGATAGTGCACAGAGTATGGTGCTTAAGGGTATGGACTCTGGAACAGGGTTTCTGAGGTTCCACCACTTACTAGGTGAGTGACCTGGAGCAAGTCACTTCACCTCCTTGTGCCTCATTTTCCTCATCTATAATCTGGGGATACCAAGAGTATCTACCTCATAGAATTGCTGTGAGAACAAGTAAGTTAAAGCACAGAAGTGTTCAGAATAGGCCTGGCTCATAGGAAGAGCACCACAAGTGGTGATGGTGATGGTGATGATGACGATGTAGCAGAGCACAAGGCTTGGCAATTCAACAGGCAGTCAATAAAGGATGTTTTTGCTCCACTCAGGTAGGACACTAACATTCACTGGATGCCTCCTGTCTGCTGGGGACTGGGCTAGAAGCTGAAAAGAGAGAGGGCTGTAAGACATAATCTTTCCTCTTAAAGAGTCCTTCTAAGGTAGAAAAGTCTCTAAGGTCCTTAAGGTCAGGGAGAGCGCTGTTCCATGTTTTCATCTCCAGGACTTAACAGAGAGACAGGCACAGAGTAAGCACTAATAACTGTGTCCTTCATAGATGCCTCCAAGTGTCTTTTCCTTTAAGCCTGAAATTTCACCAGCTGGAGAATTATTTAAATTAGAATCAAATGACTATCGTTTATGAAAGACTTGTGCCAGGCACTGTGCTAGGGGTTTCACACATTGAGACAAGCCCGTACAGCTTCACAACAACTATGGTGATGTCTCTGCTTGCTTTAGGGCCAAAAGTAATCACTCTTTTCAATTAAAAGCAGACGGTTATTGCTGTTATGTGCTGTCGAGTTGATTCCGACTCATAATCCATTGCCATTGAGTCAATTTCAACTCATAGCGACCCTATATGACAGCACAGAACTGCACCATAGGGTTTTCTAGGCTGTAATCTTTTGGGAGCAGACTGTCAGGTCTTTTTTCCCACAGCGCTGCGGGTGGGTTGGAACCACTGACCTTTCTGTTAGCAGCCAAGCACTTAACTACTGTGACACCAGGGCTCCTTAAAAGTCATAAGAGAGAAGGAGTTAACTAGAAATTAAGGGAGATCCAGTGCTGATTAGTAGCCTAAGGCTCTGACTCTGAAGCCAGGCTTCATGGATTCAAAGCCCAGCTTAGCCATTAACTACCTCCCTAGGGCTGTTATGACAGGATTAAAAGAGCTAATACATATGTAAACTAACCGGAACAGTGCCTAGCACATAGTAAGTGCTATAGAAGGGTTAACTGCCATTATTATTATGAAAAGATCTGGGTTCGCCTTTGGGACAGGCTGACAGTAGTATGAGAGAAGAACTTACCCAGATTCTCTGCCTTGTAGGTTATTTTCCTGGGCTGGCAGAAGGGCAGTGAGTAGTATTCATAAGGTAGCTGGGTTCGAGAGCTGGTGAGCTTCACAGCCTGGTGGGAGAAAAGAGGCCATTACTCCTGAATACAGCAGTAGTTTTCCGGATCAAGATGACTGTTTCAGTAAGCCTTCCCTGGCACCCCAACATCTTTAGTATACTTGACAATATTGTCTAATAAACAAACTAACTGCAGTAGTTCCAGACTACAGCATACGGAGCACAGTTCTAAATTATTTCACATTTCATTAGTTTTAGACTACATTATAGGTTTAGTTTAAAAACACAATCAAATTCAATATATACCGAGTCATGAACATGTCGATACCCCTTGACCCAATAATTTATCTTCTGTGAATCTTTCCTGAGGAAATAACTACAAATGAGGGGAAAGAACTCGAGGCACAAAGTGGTCCACTCCTTATTCATAACCATAGTGGCCTCCCCTAAGTTCTTTCAACACGTCAAGCTCTCTCCTGCCTCAGGCTTTGAACCTGCTGCTCCTTTCTGCCCTACTCTGTGCATACCTGGCTCCTTGTCATGTTCAGGACTCAACGTGAAGGCCCTCGCCCGGGCGGCCTTCCCTATCCATCTCACCTAAAGGAATGCCCCACTACTGTCTGTTTCAGCACTCTCAGTTTCCTTCATAGTGCGTTTGCTAAGATGTCATTATTTTGTTTACCTCTTGTTTATCAGTCCGTCCCACTTGAATTTAAGATCTAAGCTCTATAAGGGCAACGGCCATGGGCATCTTGGTCACTTCTGTAATCCCAATGCCTAAGCACAGAGTTAAAAAAAAAAAAAAAAACAACTCACTGCCCTCCAGTCGATTCAGACTCATAGTGACCCTGTAGGACAGAGTAGAACAACCCCACAGGGTTTCCAAGGAGCAGCTGGTGAATTCAAACTGCCGACCACTTGGTTAGCAGCTGAGCTCTTAATCACTGTGCCACCATGGCACAAAGTAGGTGCTCATTAAATGTTTGCTGAATGCGAGAAGAGAGGAAAAATGAAAAACAACCAAAAGCCCCTACAATGGGAAATCAGTCAATAAACCATGATACAGTCATCAGTGAAATATAATGCAGCCATTAAAACCGAGGCTTAGGAAGACCACGAAGGAGAAGGTTTAGGAAATGATGCAAGCACAGAGAATACAGCTCTGGAAATGGTGACAGATGCTTCCTGAACAAATGCTACACTTAACCAGCAATCCCCACTCCTCAACATATCCAAGCATATTAAGGGGCTCTGAGAAGGTCTACAGTAAAGAAACCTGGTTGGCTTTGTTAATCTAGCGCTACTGTGAATATACTGCAGTTTGGGCAATACTGACCTAATGTTGTATGAAAGAAGCAGGTTAACAGATGCATATGTAGGAGAAATACAAACCACTGCATATATACAATAAAATCTTATAGATTTAATATTCATGATTTTGACTACAGTCAACTCAAATTCTGGGTTAAAGTTGAAAGAGGTACAGGAGGAAGTCACAGACAACCCAAAACCATGGAGAAAATAGAACCAAACAAAATGTTGCAAAAAAAGAATTTTAATCTAAGTGTAATTAAAATTATCTTTGTTGTTGCTGTTAACTGACACCAAGTTGGCCTCGACTCAGGGCAACATCATGCCAATGGAACAAAAGTCTACCTGGTCCTGCGTCATCCCTATGATAAGTTCCAGATCAGACCTTTGTGATCTGCAGGATTTTCACTGACTGATTTTCGCAAGCAGATTGCCAGGCCTTTCTTCCTAGTCTGTCTTAGTCTGGAAGCTCTGTTGAAACCTGTTCAGCATCACAGCAACGTGCAAAGCTCCACCGACAGACAAATGGTAGCTATACATGAGATGCACTGACCAGGAATCAAACGTGGGTCTTCCACATGGAAGGCAAGATGTCTACCACCAAACCACCTGTCATCCATAAAATTATCTTTACTATAGGACAATTCCTCATACACCATCCAAAAGTGTAAATGCTTTTTAGAATACAGATCTACAACCCTTATTTGAAACTCTTGCTTTGGAATGAATAATTTTCCAGATTTTAGAATATATATTCTAAATATAATGTGTATATATCATAGGTTTTGAAACACCCTCCAGTTGGGTCTGGAGCTGTACCCTGGAGCTGGTGATACAGCACACAACAAGACTGATAAGATCTCAATCCTTTTAAAATTTGATTTATGGCAGTTTTAATTTTTCTACGTATGTATCATGTTATGGGTTGAACTGTCCCCCAAACATATGTGTTGTAAATCCTAACGTCTATGTCTGTGGTTATAATTCCATTTGGGAATGGGTCGTCCTTGTTATGTTAATGAGACAGGATTAGTATAGGTGTGTCTTCAGTAAATCTTTTTTTGAGACATAAAGAGATTAAACAAGCAAGCTGAGAAGTAGAGATGGAAGAAGAGAGATGGCAAGCCACATGAAGATCCCCTAGGAGCAGAAGCTCAGAAGAGACAACGATTTTCCCTCAAAGCCGACAGAGGGAGAAAGCTTCCCCTAGAGCCGGCACCCTGAACTCAGACTTCTAGCCTCCTAAACTGTGAGAAAATAAATTTCTGTTTGTTTAAGTCACCCACTTGTAGTATTTCTGTTATAGCAGCACTAGATAACTTGTTGTTGCTGTGTGCAGTCGATTCGATTCCGACTCATAGTGACCCTATAGGACAGGGCAAAACTGCCCCATAGGGTTTCCAAGGAGCGGCTGGTGGATTCGAACTGCCACCCTCTTAGTTAGCAGCCTGAGCTCTTAAACCACTTCGCCATCAGGGCTCCACTAGATAACTAAGACATATTATTTATACTTTTAACCTATAAACTGGTTAACCTCCCCCTGGATAATAAGAAGTTATAAGCATACCTGATGCCCCCAATGAGCATGACGTGTAGTAATTTGAAATTCTGCTAATACCTAAAAAGTGGTGGGAAAGAAGGAGCATGCGCATGAGGGCGAGTCCTAAGGATGGCCCTTCGTGACTTTCTTGTTTTCTGCTTCTCCTTCTGAACGCTGTGATTCAGAATGAAAACTTTATTTTCATGCATCCTCACTGTTTTGCTTTAGTGCATACCAATAAAAATGTGGTTCACATTATCACGGTAATGAAGCAAGAAATGTATGTTTATTTTAGAGGCAAAATTTATTTTCATAACTTTATACAGTTATGATAGAATCATTAAAGATCCAAAGGACTACTTAAAAATTTCAACCACAAGCTAATTTTGCCTACAGGAGACCAGTGTGGTAGTCAAGAAGTTGGGGATTTATGGAGGCATGAGAATGCCAAATATCCTACAGTATAAACACTGCACAAAAATAAAGATTAAGAAACATTTACCAAAGTGTTAATAGGAGTGGTATCTGGGTGATGGCAGAGGGAAGTCCCTTCAGCTCGGGAAAAGGCCTCAGCTTAGAGCCCTTGTACAAGGTCAGGAACCCTCCCTGGGGGCGGTCTGTATACGACTGGTCCATGCAGAGGAGTAGGGACCTGGTTCCCTTGCTTCAATTTGAACAACTCTAAAGAGCCATTCCAGCTCCAGAGCCTCCCACGGTCTTTGCTGCACCACTGCTGCTCGACTTTTGCCCCTGTGCAATCCCACTTCCCTCACTCCCTCACAAGTGCTGACCCCAGGGCCTCCCCCATAAATCTCCTGCACAAAAATTATGACCTCAGAGTCTGTTTCCTGGGAACCTGACTCAAGATGACACTCCCCCACTGGGGCTCTGAGAATGCCACCAACAATCCATTGTTGTAGAGACATTAATCTCAGTGCCAGCCTGCCCAATGCCCCTGCTCAACCAGGAGATTCCAGTCCCTACTCTCCACCCTTGCCATGGCTGATGGCCCAAAGGTGGGCAACTACCTTGAAAAGGTGAGGTGGTCCAGCTGGATAGCTTTCATGCACCAACCCGCCCTATCTACTTACCACCTACTCTACTATTTACTTGTACCTGACTCATTTTTACTTAGATGCATTTATTTAATAAGCAGGCATTATATCTCTATTAAAAATGGAAAACTAACAATGACAGCCATAAAATCATGAGCTGATGTAGTAGCTATATTTCTTAATATACATTAAAAGAAAATAATTATTAAAATAAATATGTCATCACTCCAGTATGTAGTACACAATTTGGAAATAATGACCTGGAGAACCCAGCTGGTGGCAGAAGGTAAAACTGAAAAAATAGAAGGCCATAACAGGCTGTGTACAAGTTAGGCAGAGAAAGCTGGTAACAGAGAGGAGAATGGAGCAGATGAAAGAGGGAAGCAGAGATACCATAGATGAGGAGGCTGGCTAAGAGACAGAGAGACACAAACATATACAGAGATGGTGACACAGAAAGAGCCAGAAACGGAGACAGAGCAGAGACAAAGAGAAAGAGAGAGACAAAAAGAGGAGAGGATATGCTCACAGGCAGAGCCATGGAGAGCCATAGGCACAGAGAGAGATGGAGGGTCAGAGGCAGAGTTCCTGGACCTGCTGGGTTCCTGAGGACACTCTACTTCCTACCTGTGCAGCGAACCCTCTTTTCACAGGGCACTGCCACTGGTCTTTGTTCTCTGCAACCACAGGATGTACGCAAACAAAACAACTCCCTTGGTCCTCCAGCTGGAATGCCTGGCACAGAGGCTCCAAGAGTCCAGGAATTCACTTACCTTGATTTCTACAGGGTCGTTCTGGTGGAAGTTGATTGGTGCAACTCCAGGGACATAGAAGGCTCTCGTTTCGCATATGAGAGAGAGAAGCAGCAGGGACCATGACAACCAATCCTGCTTGGAAGAAGAGAGGCCCAGCTGGAATGGTGGAAAAAGGTGACCATCACCCTGGGGCAGATAAAGTCACTCCACCTTCATGTCTGCTTTACCTGACCCAGAGTTGTCCTCCCTCTGGGAAGCCTGTAAGTGCTGCCACACAAATGCCACCAAGAGAGTTACAACACACTGATGCTGCATTTCAGAAATTAGCCATAAAATGAGTCAAGTAATTAACACCAAGGAAAAAGCAGACTGTTAATACAGGAGCCACATCTCTCCGCTTCCGGATCAGTCTTCTCTCAACAATTTCATGTTGCATCGCTCTCCAATACCCACCGCCACCAGTTGCTGAGTCGACTCCAACTCATGGCAATCCCATGTGTGTCACAGCAGAACTACGCTTCACAGGATTTTCAATGGCTGATATGTTGGAAGTATATCGTCAGGCCTTTTTTCCAAGGCACATCTGGGAGGACTCAAACTTCCAACATTCCAGTTAACAGTGCCTGCACCACCCAGGGGCTCCCTCTCCAATAAAGCTAGAAGGAAAAAGCTCCACAATGTTCCATTAATTCTCATTTCTCCTTATGGCACAGGTTTGCTTTGTCAGGAAGCTCCAACAGATTTTCCTGGTAGCCTTCTCCAAAACTGTACTGACCTCATCACCTCCCACTCTCTGCCTCCCTGCTCACTTGCTCCAGCCACACTGGCCACCTTTCTGTCACCTGATCATAGCAAGTCCTTTGCCACCCCTCAGGGACTTTGCCCTCACTGTCCCCTCTGCCAGAATGCCGTTCCCTCAAATAACTGCATGGCTCATCTCACCCCTAATTTCATTCAGGTCTCTCTCAAATGCCTCCTCAGAAAAGCCTTCACTTCACGGACCATGTTAGTAAAATAATATTCTCAGGGCTCCCACGACCCATTTCTCCATCATCTTACTCTGCTTTATTCCTCTTCATCATCTTACTCTGCTTTATTCCTCTTCATGTACAATATGTATTTGTTTTTTGCATATTATCTGCTCCCTCCACTTGAATGTAAACTATGGGAGCAGGGGCTGTATCCCTAGTGCCACAAACAGTGCCTGGCACAGACTAGGCACTCAGTAAATATTTGCATGCAGGATAGTCACTTGGGAATCAAAGGCAAGAAAGATCTATTTCTGGCCTCAAGAAATTCAACCCATCAGTGCTGGCCAAAGCATCCCTTTCCCTTTGGCAATAACGTCTCTTCACCTCCTCAAGGAACTAGAAGAGCTACCTGCCTGATTGCTCTCCCTTTGCCTGGTCTCACCAAGGACTTTTGTTGTCCATACACCTGAATCACCAACTCAACTGTTTCTGCATCTGCCTCCTCTTTCCAACCTCTTTACTGCTGCTATGTTTCAGACCCTCATTTCCTCCCTCCTGGACGAAGGTCACAGCCTCCTGGCTGATCATCTTGCCACTGCAGCCCCTCCACTCACCAAGCTAATAAATACACACACACTCTTTCTCTCTCGGATGATTCTTTCTGAAATTAAGTTTTATAGGGCATCAGAATCACCAAGGGAGCTTGCCAAAAATACACTCATCTGCATTTTTATATGGACCACAAGTTGAGAAAAATGGCTTTAAACATTTAAAGTTCTGAGCTCGGTGCACTTTTTGTAGATAGATAGCTAGGTCAAAGTCTTAAAAGCAATATGCTCACAGTGTTCCCCCCGCCCCCCGATTTGTCGTAAACTTATATAAGCATCTGCCATTTGATGTGAATTTAGTTACAACATTCATTATAAAATGTGAAATGATAGTTTGACCCCAATAAAGACAGTGAAAAACGGCTAAGACTATTGCACTGTATTTGGTAATCAGGAGCTCAGCAGAATAAGGGGTAGAATAGTGTCATCTTTAAAAGAGATAAGGTTAGAAGGTAGAAAATTGCCTCATGGGGCAGGTTTTGGTATAGGAAGAGAATATGGTTTTTTTTTTTAAACTTTTTATTTTGAAATAAATTTAGATTTACAGAAGAGTTGCAAAGATAGCATAGTCTCTATATACCCTTCACCCAGCTTCCCCTAACTTTTAACATCTTACATAACCACAAACGAGTAAGGCTTTTTAAAAATAACCAGCTTTTTAAAAAGTTTTAAAAAGCAATATATATACAGTAAGTAACTCAAACAGTACAAATGGGTAGACCCTGAAAAATAAATCTTCCTCCCACACTCCAGCTCCCCACAGACAACTGCTATTAGCAGTTCCTTGGAAATCCCGCTAGAGACAGTCTATGCATGTACAAAGGGAGGGGCTTACTGCTGTGGGTCTACCTTGAATACAACAATAACAAATAGATTTTTATTATTCTTTCTTCTTGAGTAGTAATGGAAAGCCTGTCGACTGTGGGCTGGTTACAGCATCCGATTTCCTCTCCATCAGAGGATTTCCTCCACTTGGTCCGTCATCTGGAGACTTTGGCCCTCCCTCTTTGGAGCCCTTTGCTAGCCCTCATTTGTCAGTCCTTAGAATGCGGTTGCTTCATGTGGGAGAAATAAATCCTGCCCTCTTTTTTCTTCTTATTCTTCTTTGTACCTGAATTCCAACTGACCCAAACATAAGGAAGACAAATCCTGTATTACTAGCATAAACTGCCACTCAAAACTTGTCCTGAATTTTTGAAAAACTAGGCAGAAACCAGACATCCTTAACCAAAGATACTATCAACAAACCATAAATCAATTTATCTTAGAAGAAGGGTGAAGAAATGAAAAATGGCAAAGGATACTTCCACAATAAGCTAGAATCTTTGAACCTAATTGGTAATATTAAAGTTGGCAACCAAAACCAATTCAGAAGTTTAGCTGAGAACTAATGACTACACCAAGATACACTGTCAGTTTTGGGTGCTAAAAAGTCACTGGTTTCATATGGCTGGAGAGACTGTAAACTGGAACACTTCTGTGGGTGGGAGGCAATTTGGCATTCTCTATCAAAAGCCCCCTAAAAGTACATACTCTTTGACCCCGCAATTGTACTTCTAGACATGTCAAGAAAAATATAACAAGTATGCCAAAAACGTACAAAAGAAAATGTTCACCACAGCATTGTTTAAAATACTGAAATAGTTCACTACTTATAACATTAAAATGTCCAATATTAGGGGAATGGTATATCCAGTTATGCAGTCATTAAAAATGATAATGTATTATTTCCTTAGTGGGTATGTCCAAGTTTTAGTTTTAAGTTCGAAAAGGCAGGGCATAAAGCACTATACGGCAGCATTCCTTTTTTATCTTTGGAAAGATTTAAGAGGTGAAATGAGTTACCTGGGGTATCTGAGTGGTGGACATTTTTGTGTATCTGTATTTTATAATTTTTTTTGAAGATTATACAGTATTTATACCACTTACGAAAAATAATAAATAAAAGCGGCAAAAGAAAACATCCTAAGAACAATCCTAAGCCTTTCCAGGAGTACCTCCCATCTTTCCTTTCTAAGCCTTCAGGGAGACGCAGCACCACTCGCTCAGGAGAGGCTGCCTCTGAGCCTTTGCTCAGGCTGTATACCCCTCAGACTCGCCTTATTCAAGTACTACTTACCCTTCAAGGTCCAGTTGAAGTGTTTCTTCCTGCAAGAACCTCTCTCAGATCCCCACAGGGGGGATTTATTCTCTTCCTCCCTTACTTTCCAAGGCACTTTGTCAATATCTCTATGATGGCACCAGAGGCAAGAGAATGGAAACATTACCTGATACCCAAATGAACTTTCTCACCTATACACGTTCAAAGACTGCTGCTTATTAGTTTATTTGACACATGTATAAATCTGAACTTGTTTAAAGTCTTACTATAGCATTTTTTGTGTTGAGTTATGGTCATTTAAGTATCTGCCATCTCCTCTACTTGCAGGAATCACTTGTCTAGCTTCGTTGATGGGATATTCAATAAATTTTTTTTTTTTAAATTGTGCTTTAGGTGAAAGTTTACAGCTCAAGTTAATCTTTCACACAAAAATTTATACACATATTGTTATCTGACACTAGTTGCAATCCCAATAATGTGACAGCACACCCCCCTTTCCACCCCGGGCTTCCTGTGTCCATCCAAACAGCTCCCGTCCCTTTCTGCCTTCTCATCCTGCCTCTGGACAGGAGCCACTCATTTAGTCTCGTGTATCTTCTTGAACTAAGAAATACACTCTTCACGAGTATTATTTTATGTTTTATAGTCCACTCTAATCTTTGTCTGAAGAGTTGGCTTCGGGAATGGTTTTTGTTCTGGGTTAAGAGAGAGTCCGGGGGCCATGTCTCCGAGGGTTCTGCTAGTCTCAGTCAGACCATTAAGTCTGGTCTTTTTCCGTGAATTTGAGTTCTGCATCACACTTTTCTCTTGCTCCGCCAGGGACTCTCTGTTGTGTTCCATCAGGGTGGTCACTGGTGGTAGCAAGGCACCACCTAGTTCTTCTGGTCTCAGGCTGATGGAGTCTCTGGTTTATGTGGCCCTCAATAAATTCTTATCAAACAAATTAATAATAAGCACCAACCAAGCTTTGATCTATACAAACGTGAAACCATCTATTCGCATACAGGTTTAATACTACGGTTCTTAATCTTCGCTGTATCCCCTTGAGAATCTGGTTTAAAAAAAAAAAAACCCTCACATTTAAGGATTTCGTGACACCCTCCCCCACCTTCTCACCTGTCCATAGACCTAGGTTGAGAACGTCTACCACCCCCACAACCTATCTGCATGTCTAGGATAGCAGTTCTCAACCTTGATGCATATTAGAATAACTTGAAGAATTTTTTTAAAATACTGATCTCATCCCAGACCAATTAAAAGTCAGAATCTCTGAGAGATGGGGCCCTCGCATCAGTATTTTTAAAAGGTCTCTAGAGCTTTACTACTCAAGGTGTTATCTGTGGAAAGCAGCACCAGCATATCTGGAAGATTTTTAGAAATGCAGAATCTCAGGCCCTACCCTAGAACTAGTAAATCAGAACCTACTTTTAAGCAAGTTCCCCAAATCGAAGT